CATTTTCAGAAGTGGTAGGGACAATCTCTATATGGATGTTTCTACATTACTGAATTGAGCTTTTCAAGGGAGTATTACATGAGCACAAACCCACAGTCTTTTCTACTGTGAAATCCTTACAATGGTTCCTGGCAAGGATTTGGTCATTGCCACCTTGCTTTTCTCACTGCAATTCCCAGATACAGGTTGGGGTTTAGCACAGGCCTGGGATCATTCCTGGTGGGCAGTGTGGAGGCAGCTGCTCTCTTTTGAGGATGAAAGAGAGTAACCATATGTACAAAGGTTATTTTATTCTCTTGGCTTCAGTGCCAGAGAATGGCACCATGTGTGTTCACTCTAACAATATATGCATGAGTCTGGGACATTGTCTTTTTTGGAGAAACATTGTTTAAAAATATCACTAAAAGAATGTTTGAAGATTCAAATATAATTTCAATCTTTTTCCTCCAGTCCCTCAAGTATGTCCCAAAGACAATTTTTTACCTAAAAGTCTAGAGGACATCTGGTGTCTCACAATAAATATTTATTTGTGGTAATGATAGATAGTGAAACACGAATATCAATAAAACCCAACAATATGGTGCCAGCAACATTTATGCTGTTATTTTAAAGTATTCTAGTTTTGTTACTGTCCATCTTTATCCCTTTTCCTGCATAATAAGTTTTCTTTATGGGTTCTTTGTAGCTGAGCTCCTGTCTTTTTACCTCTTTGAACCAGGTCCTAATAACTGTATTATTATACATAAAACGAATAAAACAGTGGTGGGGCTAGCATGCTGTTACTGAAATAAAGTCCATTTTATAATATTCCTTGCAAATATGTGTTGAACATACTCAGAAGTTAGCAATAATTACTCTGCATACATGTCTTGACACTACTGATTTTCAGATTTGTGCAGAAATAGAAACACAGAGCTCTTGGCCCATCAGTACTGAAAGAAACTATCAGCATTTAAGGCTTTTTACATGATCCATTCCTGTCACACAGGCCAAAGCTTATCTTACTTTGAACAGCAGAACATGCAAATTCTTCACTTTACTCACCATGACCAGTTAACCTTCATAATTACATTCAGTGTATTGGATAATTCTTTTCATTTCAAATAGTACATGCATGTGGCTATTTGTTCTGTTATTGGCTGAAAAGTACAAAATTTTTAAGCAGAAATGATAGTATTAGATTGCAGTTCAAACGTACCGTCAATCCTTCATGCTGTATTTTTTTAGCCAATAGACTACAGGTAAGAAAGAGTAAAGAATTATTGAATTCAGAGCTTCTGAGCTGCCTTTTCAAAATGTCTTCTAAAAAAGTGTCACTTGTACTACATCTCTATATTGCCTCAGTGACTGGACAGGATGGTTTTGGAAACCAGATAGTGCGTTTTGGCAATGTTCTTGTGAACTGGATTAGCTTTGTTGGCTGTTCAGCTTAACTCTGGTCTTGTCCAGTTATTCATTGATTGGAATGAGAAATGATTTTGTCCGATTTCCATATATGCTCATAGACCTGAATTTGATAGGCTTTCTCACCTTGCAATTTTTTACCTCCTTTGGTGTCAAACGGATATTTCTAGTGTTCTAATACTTGGGAAAATAGTATCTTCTCTATTCCTACAATTATTTTTTCCTCCATTGTGGCTCTTCTACTTCTTTTGCATGGTTCAGAATGGTCTGTGATTTCCAGCCCCTAGGTGGGCAGTGATGGTTGCACTGGTATGTACTCGGGCAGACTTTGAGTTCAGGCACTGAGCTACTGAGTGCGATAGCTTTCTAAGAGCTGATTCTTGCAGAACAGTCAAGATGCTGCACAAAAGTCTAAACCTCTCTCTCTCTGAGATACCAGTTATTATTCTTCAAGTTGCAAAAGACAGAAAAATTGACATCAACTTAAATTTTACTAAGAGTCCCTCAATCCCAAACCAATACAAATACCATACAAACAGGTAAAATATAAAATGACAATTATGACAAGTAGTGATCACAACAGGCTACAATGATACTGGTATGTATGTGAACAGACTCCGTTTTGAGCTATCCTGGAACCAAGAAAGGAAGAAAGAAAGAAAGAAAGAAAGAAAGAAAGAAAGAAAGAAAGAAAGAAAGAAAGAAAGAAAGAAAGAAAGAAAGAGTTTCTCTAGATAGAGGTGGATAGTTAGAAGCTTAGTTAAAACCTCATAATTAAGGAAGGAACATGAGCAGGAGTAGGATCTGAAAGATAATGAAGGTTTGCTGATTGCCTTTGAGTATAGAAATGTATAGCAACTGAAAGGGCCTCCATTTTCTGTGGTATTTACACATCCGTAAGGAGTCATCATACTAAGAAGCTCAACAATAAAATAGAGGTCTATCACAGTGAATGAGGATGATGATCTCTTATTTTTATTTTTGAGCTTTTTGTTGGTTTTGGGGGGTTGTTTTTTGGTTGTGGTTTTTTTTTTCAGTAGGGAATAAGTGTATTTGTTTAATATTATACTGATTATATTGAAGTGGGGGAAGCAGAAAAATTGGGAAAAACACAAAGAAAGACGAAGGAATTGTTCTTTATTCATGTAGAAAGCTGTAAACAAGTGAATTCTCTTACCAAGTGCTCTTACTGGGCTGAAAAAGTTTAGCCTCCCCATGGCTTGCCCCAAGGGACAAAGGAATTGCTCCCCATTACGCTGGGGAGAAAGACCTTGACAGCTGACAACAGAAAAACACAGAGGGAGAAAGAAAAAATACATAGTTTCCTTCTCCTAACTCGATGGTGGATGCACCTGAGAATAATTAAATTTGCTTACAACTTAATTTTTTCTTTAATGTTTTGCAAAGGATGTAAATATAAGTCACTTTTGCTTTGTTCTGCCATTCTCAGCTGTGTCCTTGTTTGTAAATATTAAATAGTAGTAAAGACTCTTGACTTTCATTCAGGTTTTCTCTTTTGAAGAGGAGAGTATCCTCCCCATTTGAGTCATGCTAACTAGTAATTTGACCGTGCGGCCCCAAAGGGGGAAAAATATGCCTACAGATATAAAACACAAGATACCCTGCTATCCTGATACAGTTGATAAGCGTGACACTATGACCTATCAATCCAAGAATGACAAGACTTAGAGGTAGCAAAATGTATCCCCAGATGGGTGCGTGCGAGATGTTTACCCATAACTAAGATTTTCACCTTCAGTTTGTGTCTTGGAGTCCTTCTAATGGGCTGAGTTTCAGTGAATGCAGCTGTGTGGTTCACAGCTTGGCTTAGCGCAACTATAAAGTGTTTTATAGTAGTGATGCAAGGAAATCTCATTTTTCTAGAGCTGAATGTACTATGCAGTTTTCCTTGGCTTACCTGGCTTGAGAAGTAAAGGATATTAATGGTAGTTCTAAAAGCACTGTGCAAAATCAAAGAGAATTTGTGGCCTGGATCCCAACTTGAATTCCCAAAAAACAGTGACTTGCTACCCACCTCCACCCTCCCTGCATTTTGTGCAGTTTTTGTGCATTTATGTCTTCCTTATCATATAGGTAACATGGTCAGAGTTAAAAAAAATTAGTTGATGAAAAAATTAAAAACCTTTTTTTTTTTGCTGGCTAATAAAAAGACAGAATGTTTGAATTAGTGGCCTTTGTGGTGAAGGGATAGAATATCAGAAAACCTGGACATTCTATCAGTAATACAGACAGTACCATTGCTATCTTAATTGGATAAATTTGAATAAATTTATATTAATAACTAATTAGGGATTAATATGACTTGTCTCTAGCATGTGTTTATGAGTCACATTTGAATGCTTATGATGGCTAAAGAAAGACAGTAGCTAAGGAAAGGTCATATTTTGCAAGAGCACTTCTTCCTGGGCTACAAAGCTTAATCATTATTTCTATTGCTGTCCTTTTTGGATTTACTGGTTCTGCTTCTGTATTATTAAAGTAAAAGATGACAGCTGCTAGGTGAACCCCTC